TGAATAAGGTACATTGCAAAGAGGACTACAGGAGGGGTAGTGAGTGGAAGGGAGGTAATTGTGCAACAATGAATGGATAATAAAATGAAAAAGGAGAGTAAACTGGGGGAATGGGAAGAAAAGGAGGGGGGAAATGTGCAACAATGACCGAATGAAAATACAACTTTTCTGTAAATGTTCATTAAAATCACAATTAAAATAAAAAATTCTTTAAAGAAACCCCCAAAGATTTGAAGAGCAATGATGTCTGTTTAAAGACTAAGGTGTACTGATTCAAGCCACAGTTTTTCCAAATATCTGCTAAGCATCAGACAATGAATAAGGATAACAGGAGAAGAATCAATGCTTTTGTGGTGTTGGAGAAAAGTACTGAATATCCCATGAACCTCCAAAGGAACAAACAGATGTATCTTGGGGAAAGTGCAACCAGGAACATTGGGGAATGTTCCTTGGAGGCAAAGATGATGAAGCTACATCTCACATATTGTGGTCATGTAGGAGAGGCTATTCCTTAGAAAGGAACATCATGTTTAGAAAGGTAAAGGATCGGTGAAGGAGAGGAAGACCCTCAATGAGATGTACTGATAGTGTCTGTGGCAATGGGATCAAATGTGTCAAGGATGATAAGGATGGTGCAAGACAGGACAGAGTTCAGATCTATGGTTAATAGGGTCACTATGAGGCAGACTCAATGGCATTTAAAAATAATAAGACCAACAATGTTCTTGAATGTTAAAATATTTTGTTAAAAATACACATCGAGGTGTGGCTGTGGTTGTTGTAAATTGCATTAGTGGTTAGTGCATCAGCACACCTAGCCCCCATCCACAACTCAAGATGACCCTCATACACAACAGAATGAAAAACTACCTAGTCTGGCTGCATCTCTCTTGTCAGCTTCAGATTGGATCATTGTGACCCGGAGGGCTTTAAAATGGCTTGCTTTTTCTCCCTAGGTGTGTGGGTTGTGAGGATGGGATTAAAGATTGACTACACCACCTCTCTGGTGGTCAGAATCCACTAGCCTCTCTATGAGAGAGAGAGATAAGCAATCTCTTCCCATGTGATATACAGCCTTGGACACCCAATGGAACGTCAATCATAGGTTATGAGTTGTTGTTGAGTTAGATTATAAACCTCATTGCTCTCCCTCCAGCAGGTTTTCAAAGGTTGTAAATCACATGGGAGGAGTCTGCCATTCTTTCTCCTGTGGAACCAGTGGTGAATTTGAACCACCAGAGAAGTACCACCACTATGGATTAGCAGAGCAACTATTTACAAATTATGCCACCAGGCTTGCGTTATATGCTTTTATAATGAAAAATTATTTGAGGAAAAAAATGACCTAGCCACTTGGTGGCAGTATGTTGTGAGGAATATGTACTATATAGTTGCATTTTTGTGCTTAAACACTTTTTTTTTTCATTGACTTGATAATTTCTTCTTTTGCATTTTTGTTTATAAGCTCTCTTACCTAAGCTATCTCATTCTTGGTGCAATTACTCTCTGATAATTAAGCATCTCTTTCAAATGGCTTTAATTGAATCTAATTTTAATGAACACACCTAGCTGATCTGAAACCATGATAGCAGAAAGACTGTAAAGGAAGATTGTGTTTATCCCCTGAGCAGACCAACAGAGCCCGACACAGAGAAGAAAATTGAGTTTATGTGAAGCAAATTAGTAATTATGGTTTCACTGAGAAAAACCAGCTGTAATTTATGCAAGTGAGTTACATTAATCTGTATTTAAGAGGTTCTGATGACACAGTGGTTAAGCATTTGTTTACTAAGCAAAAGACTGGTAGTTTGAATCCACCAGCAGCTCTGTGATATAGACATCTGCTTAAACTTAAAATGATTTAAGATTTGAGAAAGCTCAAACTCATTGCTTTTGGATCAGAAGAAGCTCACAGCTGACCCTCCCCTGGGTTTCCAAAGCTGTAACTTGAACTTGGGGAGCTTGGCAGACTTGGAAACCCTGTGGAGAAGTTTCAGTCCTACAAGATCACTATGAATCAGAATTGAAGGGACAGCAGTAGAGTTGTTTGATATAAAAACCCAACAAAATTGTCACCACAACAAGCTAAAGATAAATAATCCAGTTGAAAACTGGGCACAAGATATGAACAGCTGGTGAGGTTGTGGAGAAACTGGAACACTTATTCACTGTTTGTGGGAGTTTAAAATGGTTCAACCACTGTGGAAGGAGGTGTGACACTTTCTCAAAAAGTTGCAAATAGAGATACCATTTGACCCAGCAATTCCCCTACTGGGAATATACCCTAAAGAGACCATAATCGACATCCAAGCATATATATTCACACTTAGGTTTATCGTGGCTTTGTTCACAATAGCAAGAAGTTGGAAACAACCCAAGTGCCCATCAACAAACGAATGGATAGAGAAGCTGTGGTATATTCACACAATGGAATACTATGTTGCGTTGAAAAACAAGGAACTCATGAAATATTATTCAAAATGGGTGACCTTGGAGGACATTATGCTGTGTGAAATATCTCAGTCACATAAGGAAAAATATTGCATGGTACCACTGTTGTAAAACAGGACTGACATCGGGGTTGGGGCAGACTAAGAAAGATGGGATAAGTAATGTATATTGCATTGAAACAGATGAGGGAGAAAACTTTAAAAGGGTTACATGATTAGGTATTACTGTCATGATAGGAGTCCAAGAATAAAGGCTGCATAGTGGAGTAGACCTGGGGGAAAGAATTGTAAAATAATGAAAGAATTTTTCTTTCACTTTTCAAAAAGAAGAGTGCTCTGGTGGGGGGGGGGTGGGCAAGGAGAGGGGTTCAGCAATGAATGAGTGGAAATCCAAAGTTTTGGTAAATTTTCATTAAAATTAATAATTTTAAAAAAGAATGACGTTATGAACAATAAATTTGAGCCTTGTAAAAATAACCCCAACAAATTATATATTAATTTTTCATTTAAAAAGACAATTTAAAAATAATAGAAGACAAAAACACACATAGGCCCACAATTTTTCCAAATTTGAAAATGTTCTAGAAATAAAATATTTGTAATAAAGTATCCTTAAAAATTTCAGAATGTTGTAGATGCAAACTCATTGCCCCAGCTCTCTGAGCATGAACTTGAGCCTATAAAATATTAATTTAGATTAATATACCTGGTTGTTGGGCATAAGGGCATGACCTGGATTCCTCACACTAGAGGAAAACATACCCAGAGAGCAAAAGAGACTTAAAAGTATTGAGGAACCAGAAAGGATTTCTGATTTGTCACAGTTCACAGTGAAACATTTTCCTCTTACTGTAAAGAAGCCAGAATAAAAACGTAGGAAAGAACTTTTGCCTTTTTTCTGATGGTTTCATCTTGTAAAATTTCCCATCTATTGTTCTTAGAAAACTACCCTTTAGTTGAGCTTGTGCCTGAACTTAGATCAGCTTTTTAAAAATTTTCTAACACCTAGGGCAACTTTTTTATTAGGAATGTCTGATCTTTTTCTCAAAGAGAGTTGCATGGACCATGTAGCTTATTATATATATATGCTTGTGATAGCTTGGTGGCATTTAAGGACATCTCATGTTGTGATTCTTCCCTGCTCCCAAAAAGTAATTTTCTTTTTTAAAAAGTGGCATATGAACACTAGAGTCAGATGGACTGAATCAATAGGGTTGAGGCATTCTCAGGAATTCCAGAACAGTCTACACAAGTGTCTTCTGTCAGCTGGGAAAATTATGTCCTTGCAGTCACCTGTGGCAGTTTATAATTATCAGGAGGAAGGAGATGAGCAAAGCAGCTCCAGGATCCTTTTCAGTCTAAACTGAAAAGGAGCTAGCTGGCTGCCTAGGCTCCTTGCCCCTCCCTAATGGTGCTTTCATGAGGTGTCCTGACAGCCTTTGTGTGGATGACTGGACAGGCTGACCAGGATCCACGCCAGCATGAAAGGCATTCAGGGAAGTCATTAAAGCCATTTCACTCTGTGCTACAACCTATGGAGTCTGCCCATCAACCAGGAAAGGGTAAGCAACATTTCAGTTGTGCAAAGGCAAAAGTGACAGATCTAAGAGCCTTTTAAGGAAACCTGACCTTTATTGCATCATCAATTAGAAGGAATCAAGTAGAGACCTGCTCTTGTGGCAGTTTTCCAGCTCAGTGAAATAAAGCTCTAAGGTATTTGCTGCCTAGAAGCCTCATGAAGTGAGTAGACACACCTTGAAGTCTTATAAACCTTAGGTAATTTTTATAGTCCTTGCAGTATTTCACCCTTTGGAGTCTACCCATTTAAACAGAAGAAGAAAAGACACACATTTAGAGGCCATTGCCTTTATTCCTCATTCACATCTATTAAAGTTTATATTTTAAAGCTCACTTTAACAATTTCTAAACAAGTGGGGAAATTCTCTTAGGAAATTGAGCAGCATAATTGCATTGGGGAACCCTGCTGTCAGAGAACTCTCCAAAGTGTTAAAGGGTAAAAATGTCTGTCTGGAGACTAAGGTGTGCCTGATTCAGGCTATGATCTTTGTAATTACTTGCTATGCATTGGAGAGATGGACAATGACTAAGGATGACAAAAGAAGAATTGCTGTCTTTGAGTTGTGGTTCTGGAGAAGAGTCTTGAACATACCATGGACTTCCAAGAGAACAAATAAGTCTGTCTTGTAGAGGGTAAAACCAGGCTGCTCCTTAAAGGCAAGGATTTTAAAACTCCATCTCACATACTTTGGACATGTTGCTGGGAGGGATTAGTTCTTGGAGAAAGGCATTAGGCTTGTAAGGGTTGAGGGACAGTGCAGGAGAGGAAGACCCCGGATAAGATGGATTGACACAGTAACTGGGGTAATGCAAGTAGATGTGTTAGAGACAGTGAGATTGCCTCCGCATAGGACAAGGTTCAGAGCTACTATTCATAGGGTCGCTAGGAGTCTCAGATGACTTGATGGCATAGAATAATAAATAATAATAATAATGATGGAAGAAATTAACTCTGTTTTCTTTTTGTTTAAGGTCCACAGACCACCTCAAAACCATCTCAACATGATACTCAGAAATCTGGGCTCCCAATTGCTTCTATCTTTAGAGAACACCTTATCACTGGTAAGACAATATCACTTTACCTTTTTTGAGTAGTCTCTGCTCCATTTTAACTTTCTATAGTGCTTACCAACCAACCTTTATGGCACTTGCCTGACTGCTTAAATGAAAGCTATGTTGGTGATTGGATCCACCAGCCATTTCGAAGGAGAAAGATATGATAGTTTGATTTCATAAAGAGTAACAAAATTAAACGAATGCCATCAAGTTTGTAACTCTCTATGGGAAAAGACTGCCCATTTTTCTTGCAAAGAGTAGCTGGTGGATTCGAACAGTCAAACTTTTAGTCAATAGCTTGACACATTACACCATTTTTCACCTGGGTTCCTTTCTGTGAGATAATTCTACTGTCTTCTAAAGGGTCTTTATCAGTTGAAAACAGGTCTTACTTATCTACTGCTGCTACACAAAAAGACCATAAGTTGGTAGCTTTAAAGAACAAGAATTTATTCTCCCACAGTTACGTAACAAGATATTCAAATCAGGAAATGAGCTCTATGGAAAGACCCCCTTTTATTTATTTTTTTTAGTATACATAAAATAATTTATAGTTAAGTCTTAGAAGTTGTAAAATTAGATGACAGAGAAAGACCCCTTTTTGTCAATAGTCTCATATATTCCTTGGATTGTAGAAAGATCTTCACATGTTTTCTTTTCCCAGGTGTGACTATCTTTCTACATGATTGTTCCCCTTTCTTTAAGTCTTCACTCAGGAATGATGAGATTTAGGACCTACCCTCCTCTAATATGATCTCACTGACATAACAAAAGAAAAACACCATTCCCAAGCAGGATTAGAGTTACAGGTCTATTTTTATTTCAAAGGGTCTTTTTGAGAAAAAAAATAATCTATAATGCTTTCCTACTGAAATTGTCAGGTAGTGCTTAAGTCTCTAGGTTATAAGATGTTTCAAATATCTTCTAAAAAAATCACAAAAGGAAAAGATATGCTTAAAGTGTAATTGAAATAATTATTCTGGTAGATTTTGCCACCTTCTGCCATTAGTTAGATACATCTCCCATTTCAACAGATGCTGAGGTCCAAAATGCCAAAATTTCATCATCTTAACAAGAACACTTTTTTGTGTTTGCTACTAATGGAGGTTTTCTATATCACCCTCTTCAGCATTCACAATGTCTCTGTGAGATTATTATTATGACGTATCCATAGTATTGATGAGGAGACTGGATTTCAGAGAGAATGAGAAACTGATCCAGAGTTTCACAGTTACTCATCAAAGTAACTAAAATTTAGATGTTTGGGTTTGTGTTTTTGTTTGTGTTTGCCATTATGTTGTTTATTAGGAAGTCAAAAGCTATAATTCAGGTTGGTAGCAGAAAACAATCACGCTTCAGTGAAGCCTGTGGTTCTCTGTTGGGTCCACTGCTACTGTAGGCCCTGGTCTGAGTGGTGCAGGAATCTTTGATGGTAAAGAACTTACACTCTGCCATCTCTGCTTTTTCTTTACTAATGATGAGCTTCTCAATTTCTGCTGCTGAATCCACTCAATTTAATGGTAAGACTAGGCAATCCCCTTGTGCATATGCCAACACACCCTATCTGCATGCCCCTTCCCGTCCATGTGGCAAAGTCAAACTTGATGGTTAGGAAAGCCATTGTGTACAATGAACTTTTGACACCACAGATGACCCCTGACTTGAAGAACTAACTTTCCCCTTATAATCATCTTACTAATAACTACATTCTTGAAAGCATAGAAGCCAACTACTTCTTGGCTCCTGACTTGTTTTTGTTAGATGTCATTGAGTCAAGTACAAGGCATAGCAACCTGTTGAACAACAGATCTGAACCCTGAAATATTTCAGGAATACCATGTTATCAAGAACCAGCGGTAATGAAGAAGTTCAAGCTGAACTGAAGGTATTTGCAAAATAAGATCACAGGAATTGATGGGATATCAATTGGCACATTCAACTAGCAGATGCAACACTGGACCTGCCCCCTCAGTCATACCAGGAAATTGGAAGACAGACACCAGGCCAACTGATTTGAAAAGATCTTCATTTGTTTCCATTCCCAAGATACATGATCCAACAGAATTGGAAATCATTGAGCAATAGCTTTATTGCATGCAAGCAAAATATTGCCAAATATCATTAAATAACAGCTACAATAATACATAGACAGAGAACTGCTAGATGTTCAAGGTAGGCTTAGAAAAAGCTGTGGCACCAGAGATACCACAAAACTTAGACCTAGAACAAGAGCAAACAGCAAGGGAACTTTGTTGGTGTTGTTGACTGCCATCAAGTCAAGCACATTATACTGTTTAAAATTAAAGGTGTGCGTTAGGGTTGTTCCTTGCACAAACAGAGCAAGAGAACATTGTTGTTGTTGTTGTTCTTGTTGTTGTTGTTATGTGCCGTCGAGTCGCCTGCGACTCATAGCGACCCTATGTACAACAGCCCTAAACTCCGCTCTGTCCTGTGC